ACGTATGCTAGATTTTCTGTATCAGATTTAACTGGTCATCATTTCACGTGTTTTTAACTTTTCAAAAATCTCTACGCTTATCCCAGCCAGCTGTTTGTCTTCTTTTGATAAATGTAAAAATTATTCCTTTTGATCAGTTCTTGTAGGAGTTATCTTTTCTTAAGTAAACCCTGGCATTCCCCAGCAGGTGGCAGATTTAATCAGGCGGTGTCAGGCTACAATACAGTAAGTTGTAGGGTACACAAATATTTTTTTCATAATCTTTGCTCTTTGAGCTTTTTAAAATGTACACTTTGCCATGGTTTGGAGTTAACTCTTAGCCACGAGAAAATGTTTGAAACATGGTGTGTATAAACCATATGTCCCACCTTAATGTACGCAAGGTGTGAGTATCTGACATGTTGAAGGTCTGTTCCTTTGATATAATCCGGATCAGAAACAATAATGCAAGATTACTCGAATCATGTTGCATCTAAATTGCATGGTGAGATTACTGATTTTTATATGGAAGGATTCATCGGTTCCTTTGGTGCACCATGATCCAGACAGTGGATTAATGATCCTGATCCAGATCAACCCAAAAGAACGCACCCTGAGTCGGACATAAAGATTTAATTGTTAAAATAAGAGTTTTACAGCATTTTCATTTGTTCATGACATGCATGTAGTCGGTCTTTCCAATTAAACATAAAGGAACTCGGTCACTGGACAAGACATTTACCTAGCTACACACTATAATTTGAAGAAACCGAAACGTAATATCTAGGATGACAGATTATACGTTATGTCGACATAAAATCAGGTTATAGAGATTTCTAGTGTGTTATTAGTTTTGATCTCTACGGCTAACTCGATTCTTTTTATGTTTGTTCTGCCATAACTCGTAAAAAGATGAGAGTATAAGTTATCGACCGTTGTTATTGCACTAGTGCGAGTATTACAATGGAGCAGTAACGCCCTTTTTCCCCGCAAAGGAACCAAAACCTTGCATAATCCAGCTGTAGGACTAATCAGGGAATCTTTGCCTTGTTCACATAACCTGATACAAACACGCTACTCAGCCAAACAAAACGCGTGTAATATTAGTGTTATTTTTTCTCTACAGGTGCGATATTACGCTCAAGCCCTGGCCCCTCGCGGGATTACTGTGAACGTCATCATCCCTGGCTTTATCCTTTCTGACGCGTGGCATCATTTGACAGCGAGTATGGGTGGTGTTGAAAGCAAGGCTGTAAAGGCGAAGATTCAGGGGACCCCCATGAAGCGCTTCGGGGAAGGTCGGGAGTTTGGTCACGTGGTTTCTTTTCTTTGCTCACCCAAGGCATCGTTCATTACAGGGGTGTCCTTGCCAGTGGATGGGGGGCTCCATCTCCAATGATTGGATTCCATTTTACCGAGCGCGTTTCACCTAGTTCAAAACAGCAGACTTTTTTTCCCAAAGTCTTCTGGTTACATTTCATTTAAGACGGAATATCCATTTTCTTACCACTGCTTTCCATTAAAAAATAATAAATTGCAGCTGCAAGACGCTTTCACTGTAATATCATAGTATATCTCCCCACTCGGAGGATAGCCTGTATTGTGGACATCTTAGCTGGGCGAGCGATGGATATTTTTGTTTTTGTATCATGGAAGAGGGCGTGGTGTCACCGGGCGGGGAAGATGAGCCAAAAAAGACTTGTTCCTTCCCCTCCCCTCTGCTGTCAATTGTCAATCAGCCTCACTCAGTACTCGTTAGTGCCACATATTAGTTTCTAAAGAAACCTCCGGGGGTCTTTGGCGGGCAAATGAATCTCTTGGCTTTTCATCGAGTAAGATCGAGTAAGTGCTCTGACGAAGAGCTCACGCTCGAAACGTCAACTTCGCTAACTCGTTGAGACGGTTTCTTTACCTTTACCAACTACAAGTTGCATGATGAAAAGCTCAGTGTGAGAGCAACTAGTTCAGTTGTACCTGAACCAGAAAGAAAACGTTTTCCTGCGCTCTGATTTGCTATTAAAACTAAGTATGCTTTCATATTTCGTTGCCTAGTATACCGGTAATCGATCTGCTACAGTTTCGGCACGTTACTCTCAGTTACTACGCGCGCTGTGATTGGCCAATTTAGCGGGCCTTGCTAAAATTTAAAGCTGTTTTTTGTTGCCAAAATATTTCGTGATTTATGAAGATGATTTTTTTCAGTGTTTTCTTTTGCTAAAGGAACAAAAAGAAAAAAACAAAAGGCCAACAAAGTGCGATCAGAGTAAACAGCTTTCACGTAATGGTAGACCAGTGGTAGCAGATGTAGTAGGGAGCTTAAGCAAACCACGACGATGACGGCAACGAGAACGTCACAAAACAAAAGGTTTAATGAGCAAAACAATAGCTGTGCACGTGCGTTAAAAAACTTTGGATATTTCTTTGCCGTCCTCTGCAAAACAACAACGTGAAATGACCAAGTTCTGCGTCGTCTACTGAACGTGGACGACGACAGCTTATTTTCGTATTTTCATTTGGAATTGAACGCTGTCATTGCATATTTAGCCTGAGCACGTTCTTAGAGCCATTGGCGTACCGAACAGATCTAGAAAATCGCGAATTTCGCTTGTAAAATACAAATTCGCTTTTTACTAGGCGTCGTCCTCGGCGTCGTCGTCGCTGCTTAAGTTCCCTAGTAGCAGGGAGAGTGCTGCGACCACAATATGTCAATGAGGAGTAAACAGAAAAAAGGTGTCGAAAATGGAAATAAAAGGGTTGGGCCAAATAGAATGTAGGTCAATACTATCGCTTAAGGTACCGACTGTTGTTGGTTTGAGCTTGTCCACGTGGTTGCGAATATCTTGTATTTGGTCTGTAAGGTCACCATCCAACACATGATAGGTGGCATCTCAGTCGCGTATTGTTTTGTTATCCAATGACAATGGTGTGGGGGAGAGGGGGTGGGGGTAGGTACAGTAAGTGAGTCGTAGTCAAACCTCTAAAGAGTGACGTCGAACGAACTGAAAAGTGACTAGTCTGGAAAGTTGGCAGGGAAAAGGACAGCGTTTCTGGGCAATGTTCCAGTCCAGTAGCTTGTGATTCAAAAGAAGTGTCACACGGTATGTGTAAGACGGATAAAGGGGTTACCTCAACATAGTTTTGCTGGCTGTTTAAAACAAACATAAGTATAGTTGTTTCGGTCGTTGCGGGGTAGAAGAGCCGGCGCCAAGGTGAACCAAGGGATGTAAGCCACTACAATACCGCGCTTTCTCGTGGTATCGCTGAACTTGGGGATCAGGGAAGGCCAAGCTGGGCGAACGCTGGATGGTAACCTACCTTATTACATGAAATTTTCGCGACACGTGTATTTCGCGATGTTGTGGTACGCACATTTCGCAACACTTAAATTCCGCGGTTTTCCGACAATTTTGTATTTTGAATCATTTCAACTTCGCGTTTTTGAGTAACACACAGTCTATTTCCTTGGCAATGTTACTTTAACATGTCCTTGAATTTAACAAAGGTACAATGACGTCAAAATTTACAAAAACGCAACGGCGGGACTATATCTCAACAGTAACATAATATGAGTCACTTAATTTTCACGTCATATGTTATGCTCGCTTCACTAGATTATTCGCGTCAGTTTAATTTCGGGATTTTCTTTAAATCGCGAAATTCGCAAAATTAACGTGTCGCGAAAATTTCATGTAATAAGGTAATATGCCATGAGGAAGAGCACAACTTGTTCACTGGTGATTGGGCGTTTGTGGGATACAAGATAGTCTCTTGTGTGATACCAATATTGTAGCATGTAGCATCAGGTGATAAAAAGTTGTATGGT